TCTCTCTTCTAAGATTTCTAGGTAGAAGTTTAGTATTTCTGAGTAGAAAATATCACCATCACTTTCTGCTGAACCACTGAGCACTCACTATGGATGGCTCTTTTATTACCTAAACTGACTGAAGTCATTTAATGTTACCAGATTTATTCACATCCAGTGGTTTTTGTTATTTTTGAAAACTCAAAATGTGATCTAATAAAGAGACCTGGTACAATTAAGAAAGAAAATAAATTTTTAATTCATTTTGTTTTTGAATAGCTATGTGGAATACATTGGAAACCATTTTCATTTTAAAGTAATGCAGCAAGTGTTGTATTTTTTTATAATTGCCCAACACAAGGCTTTCTTGCTGACTATAACTCTCACTAATAATATTGATTACTTGGGGAAACTTTGAATAGCACATTAAGTTACACAAAATTAGAATGCTTCAGTTCTAATTTAACTTTCTAATATTTAGTAGAAATATTTCTATTAAAATTTTAATATAAGGAAGCACAAATATTTGGTATTGCTATTGTGTATTGGTATTGCCATCTCTGATTTTTTTTAAATAAAAATTCAAATATTATTTCTAGTGTATAGTACCAAAAAGAGGGGCTTCCCTGGTGGCGCAAGGGAATGAAGCTGTTTGCAGCCTCTGCAGCACAAGTTCAATCCCCAGGTGGACAGGGAGCTACCCACATGGTGCAGCAGACCTCTCCTGACTCACCCACTGCTCCTCTCAGCAGTGTATTTCAGTCAGTCTGCCTGTTCTGTTCCCTACTCTGTCTCTGGTGAATCCTCTTACCCACCCCCCACATCTGCCGGCCTGTACCCCAGCTCTTGTATGAATAAAATAAATAAATCTTTCAAAAAAAAAGAATTGGAAGAGCTAATAATAATTAACACTACAAAGGCATATACTTTAAAAATAATTTGATACTGAGTTTTTCATAAAACTCAATCGCAATCAAATAATCAGACCACAAAATTCTTGTGACAGACACGACCCAGGTCAGGAGAGACAAGGGGGCAGGTGTTTTCAAATCAGCGGGTCATGGCGCACGCATCCCAGTGTAGCTGTGGAGGGACTGAGTCACCCAGAAAAATTAGTTCTGTCTTTAGGAACTGCTCTGGGCGAGGTGAGGAAGATGTGACAACTGTGGCTGTAGGGCAGAAAGTTAAATTAGCGTCTGAGAAATCTAGCGTGTGAAGTGGCTGTCTGGAAGCATAGCACTAGGAATCAATCATGCTGTTCAGTGAAATTGGTACTGAGGGGCAAGAGAGGAAGAGAAGAACGAAACAGAACCACCCAGAGCCCTCATGATTATATATATATAATTCTGAAGAAAAACTAACACTCTTTTACGTGTGCTACATGTTATTGAGATTGATTGCAAATAATTAACTAGTAAATAATAAATGAGTAACAGTGGAGCCAATATTTAGTCCATACATTAAAGGGTCATTCTGATTTCTGTGGGTATCTTCTAACAAATTCCCAAAAGGAATATGAAGAAGAATGACAGGGATCCGGAGAAGAAAAATTACTGTGAAGCAAGTCTGAGACCTCCAACTTCCTCTGATGCCTTACATGCGGGGAAAGAAAAAAAAAAAAAAACTTGTACAGAAATTTGGCTTGTGTGGGCTTCATTTAAACAGCCGCTTTAAAATAAGGACATGCACATGACCGCTACGCATTTGACAAGAAGTTCACAGCGATTCCTCCCCAGGACGTGCTCGTGAGAGCCACAGCGACACCCCACTCCACCCCGAGCGACTCCTGCCCCATGATGGCTGAGCCAGCCAGGTGCCTGAGAGCGGCGCAGCAGCCCGGGCTGATGACAGCACACATCGGCACTGCCACTCTTAAACTAGGGAAGGTTTTATTTTACTTTATTCTGTTAAGAACACTTACTGTCACTTTTTATCTCAAACATAAAGCTACAAATAGACCAAAGCCACAGGGCAGCACCGGCGTAAACACACAGACCAAGAGAACAGAGTGCAGAGTCGGAGAGTCAGTCCGCACCCGCAGTCACTGCCCCCACAGCAGCCAAGAACACACTCTGGGGAAGGTCTTCTCAACAAATGCTGTTGAGAAAGCTGGGTATTCACATGCCGAGGCCTGAAGGAGGATCCTCCTCCTACACCATACTTGAAAATCAATTAAAGACTTCAGTGTAAGCCCTGAAATGCCAGACTTTGGGCGGAAGCATAGAGGAGAAAGCTCGTGGTCTTGGTGTTGATGATATTTGTGCTGATGACAAGGAAAGCACAGGCAGCAAGCAGATTAAAATATTGAAAACAGCACCGCATGTGGCCTTCTCTCCCACCTGACAAGCTGCCGTGAGCATTCCTGGACACAGCTGTTGGTGGCCACGCACACTCATTAGCCTTGGTGTACCCTGGGGTGTACCTGTAAACACGGATGTGTGCACCTGCCGTGCACTCCAGACCAAGGAGGACATGTGCCCAGCAGACTTGTCCAAGGTGCCTCAGAGCCGCTTTACTCATAATAGCAGAAAACAGGAAATAATCCCAACCACAGAAAAATAGGAGCTTAGCTAAATAACAAACTTTGCTATAGCCACACACATAGCAACACAAATCAGGAAGCTATGACTACACGCAACAACAGGGCTACATGTCATAAACAATGCCAACACGCAAAAGTCCCTGTCACGTGATCCCATTAATTTGAAGTCCAAGGACTGGCAAGCGAACCCTCAATGACAACAGTGGCCTCAGTGGGGACTGGCTGATTTGACACAGGCATGAGGAGGTGCCTGAGGGGCCATAAGCCGTCCACGTCTTCATCTGGGGAGTGAGGACATATTTTATATGGATTTTTAAAATTCTCTCAACTGCATACTTAGGATATGGGCACTTTATATCTTGCGAGAAATCCAATAAACCACACATTGACATACATAGATTTTACTCTGTGTCTACATCTCCATAAACAAAGTCTAACCCTCTAAATCAGGGACTCACTTTCAGTCCAGTGCTAGCACTGACAAATGCACACCTATCCAATCTTTCATTAAAAAATAAAATTTTAAAATAATGCCAGGACAATAAACAAGTCAAACGCCACCAGAGTCTACTTAGCTGATTTCATGAGCCATGATCGATTGCACTCAGCTCACTGACTAGATTTGGAGGTAGCTTCAGGGCACCCAGGAACTGCCCCAACCTACTTTATCACCTAATAAAAGCTTTGAGTTTTTCTGGGTTTTTTTCTAAGTAATTAGGACTAAAGAGAATGACTTTTGTTACAGTAGTCAGTGCATCGTCTTGAAAAGCAGGAAACTTTTTGTTTTCCTCTAAGCAAATATTGTTACCTTAGAAGGCCTTGGCTTTGGGCTCCTCTGCTCTCTGGGCAGACATGCCTGAAGATGGGGTGACCGAGGAGTTTCATCTTAGAGCTGCTCTGTGCTTGCTGAGGTGGCTGTGGGGTGGGAAGCAGCAGGGGCAGTTTCCAGGTACAGGCCTGGTGCCAGCCGCGGCCCAACTTACCAAAGTAAGTCTCCAGGACCCCACTGCCAGGAGCAGACACAGAGGAAGAGTTAAGAGTTAATGGATTCTTGGGCCTCCCCTGGTGGCGCAGGCAGTTGAGTGCAGTGCTGTGAAGTTGTCCGCAGCCTCTGCAGAGCCAGTTCGATCCCAGCCAGCCGGCGAGGGTCCCACATGGTGCGGCAGACCTCTCCTGTCTCGCCCACTGCTCCCCTCAGCAGTGTATTTCAGTCAGTCTGCCTGTTCTGTTCCCCGCTCTGTCTCTGGTGAATCCCCTCACCCTCCCGTGCATCTGGCCTGTACCCCGGTTCTTATATAAATAAATAAATAAAAATCTTCTAAAAAAAAAAAGGGTTAATGGATTCCATCCAGAGATTAAACATCAGTGACCAGGGAACTACTGAGAAACTAGAAGATTCTGAACCAAGAGAAAGCTGTCATCTATCCCAGATTCTGCAGGAGCCTCCTGTGACCACAGCAAGGAAAGCCCTTGGGAGTGGCCAGGCCCCCGAGCTCCTTCCACACCTGGAAAGTCCTTGGCCCCACTGGCAGAAGTGGAGTGCAAGCAGGAGGACAGGACAGGCCCGTGGGAAAACCTTCTGTCTTTTGGGGGAAAAGGCATGAAATGAGAGCCATAAAATACTTAAAAAGCATGAGGGAGTAATTCTGTATCTTGTTTACCTACATGAAATTTTACTATGAAATTCCCTGGTGTGCAATCTGTAAGAAGGCTGTTTTCTGAGAATGACTCATCAAATGACTTTCTGAAAAGCAAACTTGAAGAGCTGTCTATGAAAATTCTATTGAGAAAAATAGCTGGAAGACAAAAAATACATTGTACCCAAAAGATGGAGACCGTCTAGTAGGTCTTTTTAAAAAGGGAGTCGTGTATGTGCTTATAGGAAAGTCGTACATTTTCTTACAGAAGCAGATCCTCAGCTCTCGCCAGGAATGGAGGGCAGGTGTGAAGCCCTTGGCGGGCCTAATGCTGTAAGCTGTTTATCTTTTTAACTTGGTATTTCATCAAAGAAAAGAGTCTAATTTGGGGCCTTTTTCACCATCTTTTCCTTTCATTATGGGAAGGTCTTCCTGACTCAAATCAGAGAGCATGGGCCAAGGAGAGGGCAGAGCAAAGCACGTTGGGCAAAGACCAGATCTGAAGCTTCAATAGCCTCCACGAAGTGGGCCACAGAAAGTTGGTAACCAAGGGTGTTTGCAGTTGCGTGTGGGGCGCAGGGACCTCAGGGGAGATGTGCAGCGCCTTGGGGGAGAAACCAAGCCCAGCTGGCTCCACCCTTGTGCCAGGGGCAGGCTGGACAGGCTGGATCTAGCCCCCCTCTTCAGAGCACAGGGATACTCGAGAGGACAGAGAAAATGGCTTGGGAGAGGCAGCTGGACACGGAGTTTATGGGGTACGGGTTCCAGACACTGCACAGGGATGCGAGTGTAACTCACTCTGATAGCTAAGGTGGTCAAGTTTACATCTTTGGTGACTTACCACGATCACAAATGCTTCCCAGGGGAGGCGGTGCTTTCGGTTGGGTCTCAGTGCTATGGTGGCATGAAGGGCAGGTGGGGCACAGAGCCACCCAAAGGCAAGACTCTCTGTTGAGGCTGAAGGAAAAGATATCAGTACTCCAGGATACCCGCCAAGATTTCAAAGGAATTGGGAAGAAAGTCAAATATACTTCTCAAAAATAATAATAATAATAATAATAATAATAATAATAATAATAATAATAACAATGGAGCAAGCAGCATTTTGTGTTAGTGCAGAAGGCAGAACTACTAGGGGTATCCACTCCAAAACTATGAATTAGTGTCAGGACCTCAGGCAGAAATAGTTTATATTGTTCAAGTCAGGAGTTAGTCTTCTGGGCAGTTACATTGGGTTCCAATCGCTGTAGTAATAAGTTGCCACAAACTTAGTGGCTAAAAACAACACAGATCTATGATCATTCCAGAAACCAGAAATAAAGATTGGGACCCGATGGGTCAAAATCAAGGAGTTGTGGGGAGCATTCCCTCTACAGGCTGGAGGGGCAAATCATCTCCCTGCCGTTCCCAGGTTCCGGGCTCCCTCCCATTTCTTGGTTCCTCAAAGCCAGACGTGGCCTCTTGGGACTTTTTCAGGACAAACTACGCTGACGTATGCAAGGACCCTTGCCGCAGCACTGGGACAACCACAGAGCCCAGGGAGTCTGTTTTAGGTCCAAGGACTGGCAGCCTGCAGCTCAGCTCCCCTGGGCCCGGCGTCATCACGCAGTCTCGGGTCCGGGGACTGAGAATCAGCCGCCCATGGGCCTGCCTTCTGCACAGCACAGCTGAGTCATGCAGCGAGGCTGTCATTACCTCACCTCCCCAAGTGAGATATCTCACTTTGCTTGCGGGGTGTTCATCTAATAAGATCTACAATTTACTCTCTATTTGCGTTGGTCTCCAGCCACCAAATACATCAGAAAGGTGGAAAAGAATAAACCACTGAGTTTCCAAACCCTTTAGCACACCAAGCTAACTGGATGGAATTTCATCCAGCTTTTAGCAGTAAGGGGATGTATAATCCCGTTTTAAATGTATCCTTTATATCAACACATCCACTTGGAATATACAGAAATAAAGGAATAGACAAAACTAAATCAAAACAAAGCCTGGAAATCTGACCTTAGAATTGAGGTTATGAGAGGGGGAGGGAGGAGGGAAGTGGGGTATCCAGGGGGAGGGGCCAATGGTCTGGGGTGGAGGACTATCGGGGCCTTGGTGGTAGGTGTGGTGATATCCACTTGAAGAGGTGTGAACTTATACCCCTAAACCATATACAGTTGTTGTGAGCCAACACTACTCAAGAAACGGTGACACAATAAAAACAAGAGAACACATGGCTCCGCGTGGTGGTTGGACAACACGGTGCTGACGGTCCAAAAGGTAAGACAGTGTTTGCCTCCTGAAGAGTCCCAGTTTATTTCCTGATCTGGTTCTTTTCTTTTTATTTTAAGGTTTTTTTTAAAGATTTTATTTGTTTATACAAGAACCTGGGTACAGGCCAGATGTGCAGGAGGGTGAGCGGATTCACCAGAGACAGAGCAGGGACAGAACAGGCAGACTGACTGAAATACACTGCTGAGGGGAGCAGTGCGCACGACAGGAGAGGTCTGCCGCGCCATGTGGGACCCTCACCGGCTGGCTGGGATAGAACCCGTGCTGCAGAGGCTGCAGACAGCTTCAGAGCACAGAGCTCAACTGCCTGCGCCACCAGAAAATACCCTTAAGTTTTGTGTTTTTGTTTTTTGGTTTTTTTTTTCAATTTATACAAGAACTAGGGTAGAGGCCAGAGATGCGGGAGGGTGAGAGGATTCACCAGAGACAGAGTGGGGAGCAGCGGGCAAGGCAGGAGAGGTCTGCGGCGCCATATGGGTTTCTCCCTGGCTGGCCGGGAATCAAACCCGCACTGCAGAGGCTGTGGACAGCTTCACAGCGCTGCACTCAACATGTTGCACCACTGGGGAGGCCCCTGATCTGGTTCTTTTCTAATTAAAATTTCCAAAAATATCTTTTGGAAGGAATTCATTCATTAAACATAAATATATTATTCGGGCCTCTCCGGTGGTGCAGCGGGTTGAACACTGTGCTGTGAAGCTGTCCGCAGCTTCAGCCATGCGGGTTCAATCCCAGCTGGCCGCTGAGATTCCCACATGGTGCCACAGACCTCTCCTGTCACGCCCGCTGCTCCCCTCAACAGTGTATTTCTGTTGTCTGCCTGTTCTGCTCCCCACTCTGTCTCTGGTGAATCCTCTCACCCTCCCGTGCCTCTGGCCTGTACCGTAGCTCTTGTATAAAAATAAATAAATCTTAAAAGAAATAATAAATACATGATTCCATAAATGTATCATTTAAATACCCTTTGGTATCATTATTTTCACCTCTACTTTTATTTCTTTTAATTACCTGGGCCTGATGACTATATACTATGCAAGACAACGACAAAAGCCTTAGCAATGCCACACACATACACACACACACACACACATCCCTATACACACACACACCACACCTCCACCACACAGCTGCCCCAGCAGGGTTCCCCCACACATGTTCACCCTCCTCCCTCCCTGCTATGGTATGTCCCTTCCCTCCCACTGTCCCCTGTCCTCCTACCTGTCAGGGTCCGTCATCCCCATGACCCTGCTCTCCCCAGGATGCTATCTAGGACAATCTCGTTCTGGAAGGTGAAGAGTTATCACTCGGTTCTTACAACTTTCTCAAAACTGTTCCACGTTCCTCTTCTCCACAAACAATGTCTACCACATTATCATGGGATGTCACCTATGAGAGAAGGGATTTCAGCTCATCATTATTAAGTATTATTATTTCATTTACTGAGTTTGCTCTTCTGGAATCATAAAATCAATCAACAAATAAGGACAGGATTAAAATAAAGCTGCAGTTATAAACACCCTGGTACTCCATCAGGCCTTTGGCGAGTCCCTTGTCTTGTAATATGTAACTATGCCAACCAGCGTCTGTGCTTGATAATGGCCTGAACTCATTCCTGAGAGTCTAACAGACAAAATCCCTGTAATCCATTTTTATTTAAGACTTTTCTGCAGGTTTAGCTAGACTTGACCCAGGGAAAGGGAAGAGCATAATCTGTTCAAGCACAGCATGATTTCCTGTAGGAAAGGGGAAGAAGCATCTGAAACAGGAGCTTCGTTCATTTCTTGGTTCATTAATCAGCATGGCACTGACCTGACACCTTCCACAGGTGGCTCCTGAGGCCACAGACACATCGGCAGTGAAACTGAGGTTTTCTTCTTAAGGGCTTTTTTTTTTTTTTCACAGTATAGGAAGTTTAGGCTTTTTCTTCTGGGTGTTCAAAAACCATATAATGGTATGAAAGACAGAATTGATAAGATCTCACTTTCAAAGGCCAGAGGAGGAGAGATCGTGTGAAGGAAAAAAGATATTATGAAGAGACAATAATAAAGTCGCCAGTGTATGCTGTTACATACCAACGCTACCCCCACCCAAAAAAAAAAAAAAGACAAAAGAACAAGCAAAGACAGTGCAGTAAAATGATGGAAAATGTCCACAAAGTACAATAAAACTATGTGGCTTGATGACAAGGGGTCGAGGATAACCAGCACAGTTCTTCCCTTCATTCCCAATATGAAACTAATAATCTTTCTCCTTAACCTAACAGAAATAAAATGTTATATTAAATCTCTTATAATTACACAGTAGCAATATCATAAACTTTTAAAATACTTTAAATTAAGGCAATATGAAAACTATATGAATGGATCCACTGCGGTTTTTAGTAATATCTACATTATCATCACAATTAATAATGTATGACATAACAACATCAATAAAACAAAGAATAAAAGATAAAGGTGCTTCCAGAGGGGCCTCCCTGGTGTTGCAAGGGTTATGTCTCAGCGCTATCAAGCTATCCCCAACCACTGTGGCCTGAGTTCCAACCCCCACCGGATTGCTGACCCACATGGTGCAGCAGACAGACCTTCCCTGTCTCCCCGCTGCTCCCTTCAACAGTGTATTTCACTAGATCCACCTGTTCTGCTCCCCACTCTTTCTCTGGTGAATCCTCTCAACCCTCACACCTCTGGCCTGCACCCCAGCTCTTGTATAAAAATAAATAAATCTTTAAAAAAAAAAAAAAAAAGGAAAAAAAAATAAAAGTGCTTCCAGATAAGAGACAGCTATTTTGGGAAGAACTAAGAATGCTGATATTCTATCCTGTTTCTAATTATTCTGTATAACTAAATCAAGCCTTCATTAACAATGAAGACAGTCAGAAAAATTATCACAAAATAAATTTTATACTAAATAATGACTGTCCAAGTTAAAGAGATAACTGACAGATAATAACCATACTCTCGCTTGTTTAAGTAAATTTGCTCATTCAAGTTTAAAATACGTTTTATCAAACATATACAAGTTTTCACTCTTTGATTTTTAATTTTTTTAAGATATATTTATTTATACAAGCACTGGGGTACAGGCCAGGGGCGGGAGAGGGTGAGAGACTTCACCAGAGCCAGAGCAGAGAGCAGAACAGGCAGAAGGACTGAAATATGCTGCTGAGGGGAGCAGCGGGCCCGACAGGAGAGGTCAGGCGAGCCACGTGGGAATCTCCTTGGCCCTCTGGGAATCGAACCTGCACGGCAGAGGCTGTGGACAGCTTCACAGCGCTGCACCACCGGGGAGCTTTGATTTTTAAATGCCAAGTAATACAAGAGAAAGCTTTCAGATAACTGAAAAGGGATTCCTGCGGATGTGGGATTCCTGTCACCTTGCCCCACCTGCAGATCCCACTTTGATGTGAGGATTCATGCCAGGGAGCCTCACACTGGTGGACTTTAGTCTTCACAGTCATCCTTACAGCAATCCTGAGGATTTTACCAATGAAGAAAGAGGTTTCAGGAAAGAAGCCATTTCCCAGATCACACGATTCATAAGTGGGGAAGAAATCTTTTGCTAAGATATCCTTGCAAATTCTCAAATTCTCATTGCTTGAAAAACTTAAGAAAATTATTTGGCAGACAGAATGGGCTTCTTTTTGACTGTGAAAATAGCCCACTTTCCTGACATCCAACATCCAGTTGCCGGGAGGGCTTCAACTTTTTACTGCAGGTTTACAACCATCTCAGTTATTAGCAAAGCCCTCCAGAAGCTCTCAGAGTGGGGGCTTCTAGATTATCTTTCAACAAGATGATCAAAATACCCTCCAGAGCTGTCTCGGAGCACGTGGCCACCGCCTGGCTTGGATCCAGGTGCTGCTTGGCAGCTTCAGCTTCCCTCTGTAGGATTCATCATCAATGCTGTTAAGACTGCAGATGTGGCCCTGTAGGGCACAGAGGCTGAGGAGAGCAGACAAGTTAATAAGCTAGAAAAATACGGGTTGATATCTGTGTCCTTGCCTGCTCCCAGGCAGTCTCTTTGACTAATATGACATGGGAAACAACTGAATTGCCAAGCATTTACAAGGTTATGAATTTAACAAATATAATAACCAAAAATAAAGGAAAACATTTCAATACCCTCTCTTTCCATAATGAAACTAAAGCCTGAAAAGAAAAATGAACACAATTTCCCTCCAGTACATGTATTCAAAGTAGAGTGATCTTGTTATTCTGTTTCACAGCAGGCAAATGCTCCCGCATGGGTAAAGTAAAGAAACAGAAAGCAGAGTCAGTGTGCTTCCATCATGACAACTTACAGACCCTAGGAAAACACCACGGTTATTTGTATCAGCATTTTGCATGCTGATGTCGTCGACCACCCGTGAGAGACGATGATGGAGAGAGTAATCAGAGCTTCCAGGCCGCAGACTAAGTAAAGGGAACCGAGTCAGAGACATCTCTTCACCCGTGTGTCTTCCCTGCATCACACGCTATCTGCCTGAGGGGTTGTGCTGCAGTTGTACAGGATGGGACAGTCAGCCCAGCCCCTCTGGACCCAAGAGGAAGTCTTGCAGCGGAGCCCCCTCTATCACTTGTGTGGGTTGGAAAAGGCAAGCTGGGGGCGCCCCCTTTATCACCAGCGTTTGGTAAACTCACGTGGCAGCTGTGGTTGGCACCGGACAGCTGCCGCCACAGTGGGTGGGGGTCCCCAGGGGCCAGGGACCGAGGACCTGCCTTGTGTCTGCATACCTTAGAAGCGAGGATAAAACTGATTTTAAATTATCTGCTTTTGATGCTCACCGTTGGTCAGTGTCAATAGTCAATCGATTTTAAACTTGCTTGTTTAAACTCTCAAGAACCGCACAGGTTACTCTTAGGTTTGAATCATTGGTACGCGAGTCCCAAAGCTGCGCATTTTCATTCCTTGCCCCTTAATATAAGCTGTGTTCTACACGCAAGTCAATTCCGAGAACCTCAGTCGTGCAGAGGGCCCCTTTTTGCTGCCCGCGATCATGGGGGAGGGAGTGGAGTCTGGCTTTAGGTCTCTGAGCATTCCTTGGGGGCCTCATCCTGATCTTCCCGAGTTAAGCTGTAGATTCAGCATGAGCCAAGGAGGTGGAGCCAGGAAGGATGGGGCTGCCCTGAGCACCTCCGCCCTGCCACCTTCTGGGGCCGCCAGCCCGCACCCCTCTGAAAGCCCGCGGCCCGCATTCTGATGACTTTCTTCCAGGCTTAGTGTTTCTGACTATCTTTAGCTTTACATTTGCTGCCTCATGTGACAAAACTTCAAAATTAAGTGAAACTTTGAAATTAAATAAATAAAAAGGTGTTGTTCGGTTATGAAAAGCAAACACTGACAAGCCTGGCTACCCCGTCTATGGTAAGTGTGCACTGTCTTCATCCATTTCTACAAGATAATCCATGTTCATCCTAACGAGTGGCACCAATCACAGCTCATAGGGGTGGGGGAAGCAAGAAGAGAAAACGTGGACTAAATTCTTATTCAAAAAAGGAAAAATAGGAGCTAGAGCTGCTGTGTGTCTGGGCTCCTGCGGCGACAGGTGTTAAGAAGGGCAAGTTCTTTGCCAGAAACCTCTCCTCTCCTCAAGGAACCCTTCCACAAACTCCCCGCCCTGGCTTTGCTGTTCTGAGGCTCTTCGGAGGCTGCTCAGCCTGTTCCCACGGCACCAACACCAGGTCCAAAGTTCACCTGCAAGCTCAAGTAATCCAGAGATTTCTTTGAAGCATGTAAGATTTTAGCCTTTAGGACTTGTTTCACCTAAGACCTAGAGGGGACAGTCACAGGGATATAGCCGGGCCTGGGCTGCCTTATTTAAGGAACAGAGTTCTGTGCCCATTTTCCTGTGACCCCCTCCCCACCCCCACCCCACCCCCAATCACATTGATTCTGATCTCGGGCTCCCCAGGGAACTGAGGTGACCTCCCCCGCTCTACAGTGTCCCCTGAAGCTCTGCAGGTCAGGTCCTTAGTCTTCCCCGCAGAAATAAAAAACAGCAACAAGACACAGGACTCTAGAGCCCTGAGTTCCCGGCGCCTTCTCTTAGTTGTATTACCTCATACCCCCCTTCACAACCACCTGGTGAGGCAGGCACTATCACCTCACTTCACAACAGGAAACTGAAATTCAGGAGGATTCAGTAACATTCCCAAGTAGCTCACACAGGAAGGACATGGAATTCTAGCCTAGGCAGAGGCCCAGATTATTGTACTATGCAAATGTGAGATGACACACGTTTCAAAAGTAAAATTTTTTTAAATAAAATGGCACACACACCCCCCAAAATGCTTCTGCATGAGGTACCAAAAAGGGATGATTTTCAAATGGCCAACAAGAAATGTGAAGGTATTTATTAAGTTGCTTAAATATGATTGAGCAATTTTCTAGTAAGACTTGAGAAGAGCGAGCATGTCGCTGAGGAGAGCATGTCCCAAGGAAATTAAAATTTGTGGCCTAAAACATTTATTTCTTAAAATGCCTCTGAAAAAACATATACAATTTGTGTTTGGACACACAAGTGTAAGAAAGGAAAATTAATAAGAAATCCATTAAAATGTTCCTTCCAGTCTATCGGGTACCTTTGTTACCCGATTTGGGAGATAATGAAATGCAGGGAACACGTACACAGAAGTACAATGCTTGCCCTGGACATGTGGTCTGTGTGTGTGGACCTTACCAACTGACATAGTCCAAAACATTCCTTTAGGACCTAATTCTATGTAAATCCAGGTTTGAAAACCTGAGGGATCTGATGCACATATATGACAGGGAACCAAAGGAGAAATTGTGTGTTTAAAAGCCAAACTGTAGATTTTACACAAAATAAAAGCTTTGAAGCTTTGCCCCACACAAAGCAAACCCCCTCAAAAAAAAAGATTAATACCCAAGATTAACAAGGTAAATGTTAAAAGAATCACAAAATGAAATCTTAAATGTGCTGAGCTTGGTCTTACATTTCCAGGTCCTCCTGTGACATTTGACAATATTAAACATTTTAACAATGTCTATGATAACATCTGCCAGCTTAGACTCTAACTTAAATAGTCACTTTTTTTTAAAGATTTATTTATTTATTTATTTATATAAGCACTGGGTACAGTCAGAAGCGCGGGAGGGTGAGAGAATTCACCAGAGCCAGCGCGGGGAGCAGAGCAGGCAGAAGGACCGAAGTACACTGCTGAGGGGAGCAGCGGGCGGCAGGAGAGGTCTGCGCGCCATGTGGGACCCTCCTCCGGTGGCCGGGGAGCAGCCGGGGATCGAACCGGCGCCGCAGAGGCTGCGGGCAGCTTCGCAACCCAGCGCTCAACCGCTGCGCCACCGGGGAGGCCCTAAATAGTCACTTTTTAATAGTCAATCCACCTGAAAAACCAGTTCTGTACCTTAATGGTATCAGTGGTGGTAGTTCAGAAATTCAAGAATCTCAAGTGAATGCATAATAATAAAAAAAATTGCGATTTACATATTATCTCTGCATGGAGATTTCCTGGAGCTCTCCTTAGCACTGCCTAATTCAGAGCACGTAGCATTACCGTTTTATGTGAACATCAAGTTTACTTCTTGGCTTCCCACAGGCAAATACAGCCTGGGAAATGATATGCCATGATCGCAGGTTTAATTGGTTGTGGATCCTGCCATTTCTCCCTTTCTAAGACCTGTTTCTCTCCTCATCCTGACTCCTGCCCAGGGAGTGTGGTCCTGGGACCATCACAGTCATCTCCTAAAATCTCCCTGCCACCTCGCAGCCGGCTTCTGTGCTGCCGCTGACGGTGAATCTGATCTGGCCCCTTCATCCAAAACCTTCAGGGGAGCTATTCTTTCCTGGCCAGACCACCGAACACCACCATGTTAGCTCACGCCTCTGCCCTGCTGCGATTCTCCCCTTTCTCCTTCCCCGTCCTACTCCCTCACTGCCCAGCCGCCTGAGAATATGCGACCAAGGCTTAGTTCAAGCATCATTTCTTTTATGAAATCTTTCAATAAATCGAAATGAATATATTTATAGAAAGGATATGGACAGATGAAATATATAGACGATGCATACACAGATGAGACATAGGAAGCAAGGGTAGGAGAGTAGAGCAGAGGGGGAGGGAGGAAGCCTCCGTACCCAGATCGGTCTGGAATATATTTGCTAAGTAATGACGCAGTTAGAACACAAGGGCAAGAAAGGCAGGAAGGAAGAAAAGAGGGAAAAGGTCGGGGAGAGAAAAAAGGAAGGGGAGTAGAAAGAAGAGAAAGTAAGAATAAAGTAGTGAAAGTTTCATGGCCACATTATCTTGAAAACTATAATCAAAAATATGTTCATTTCACACAATTTTATGCAAAGATACTTCCAATGTTCTTTCTGTACATCCTGAGTTCACCAGAAAAGATAGGCCAATCTTACAGAATGTGTAAACCCTCTCGTTTATAGCTTCTCTGCAGTAACAACAACTCTATCCTCACATGTGCTGGGTGCTCTATTAGGCACACAATATAAAGGGGCTCTTGAACCTCAAAACTAACCCCTGGGCAGGTACTGTGATTCCCACCTCTGCGGCCAAGAGCTCACCACAGCTGTGCCTGCCTAGCAGTGGCGCCGGAGCACAGTCCGCGCCCTCCAGCAGGCTGGAGGTCACCCGCTATTCCATACCAAGTGCTAACAGTGTTAAATTCTCGACCAGAAACCCAGATGGGAGCCTGGGACTCACAGAGAGATCTGACCTCTATGTAATTTCACTGGACTGACCCTGTTATTTTCTAAACTCAGTTTCTTGAATGCTGCTCAACAGATACTGTGCTAAGATGTTTCACGTGTTGCTTTATTATTTCATTGGTATACGCATTTTAAAGTCAGAGAAACTTGTTTAAATGATTCGCACAAGATCGGGCCACAACTGGCTAGATTAGTGTACGGTCTAAGTCCAAAGCACACACTCTACCAAGATGCTGAAGCAGACCTAGTTTTAAGGGGTGATCAAGGTAGGCTTAGAGAGAAAAAACAATCAAGGTAACGAAGGGACCCATTAGGAGAGGTTTGGAAGGGCCCAGGAAAGTAACAACGTGAACTCAAAGGCAGGGCCCGGGGAATGGAATAGAGGGAGTGGTAACTAAAGGGAGAGCTGACGTCTGTCTGCGAGGCTAGTACATCCATGTTCTCTGCAGTCCCTCCCACATTAGCTCTGAGCTAATGAGACAGGGGCAAATATAATTCAAGCAGGGACTTCAAAAGAACTGGGAGGGGGGTTGGAAGTAGGTGGCAAGTGTTTGCAGGCCACTGCGGCTTCACAAATCTAAGAGGAAGATGTGTCACTTTCCTCCGCTGCAAACACCACGGCTGGGCACCAGACCATTTCTGGTGAATGGTGCCAAGGATTGCGGTGCCACATGACAGTGCCAAAGATGAGCACTGAGTGCCCCCAAGTGAGGAACTGGTGTCACCCACACTGCACAGGAGCACATCACCTTGGCCGTTCCCAGGATTGCCTCTGACATCGCCCAGGGCCCACTCTGAACAGCAATTTGTCTTCTAGGGAAATGAGGTGAGCAGGTAATTTAATTGAGGAAGGAGAAAACTTGGCTCTGGTTCAGGGACTAAAAGGGTAGCCACGCCAGGGGAATCCTGAGAGAACAGGAGGCAGTGCAGACAATGCCACAGGGCCAGCAAAGTCATCAATCAGGCATTTGTGAAACTGAACCCTGGCGGTTCAGATACAACTGCATGAGGCAGAATACTGACCTCTCCAGGGGAACGTGCGCTGTCTTCCAGAAAGGCCATGCACCGACATCCCTGCAGACCTCTCAGAGATCTTAGGAACAATGGAAATGCCTGGGAGCAAAGAACAAAAACTGTGTTTATAAACAGTGTGAGAAAAAAGGACTTACTAATACTTCATGTGATAAATTCTGAGGTAGAAATCTCAGTTCCCAAGTGCTTGGTAACTGCAATCGTAAAACTGAGGAGAGAGTTTGTATGGAGAACAGTTGCATATCCTGCTGTTATTCACTGTCCAGGTGGTTATTACATTCATTTCTCCAGGCCATTATAAACACTAAAGAGAATTTCCAGCCCAAAAGCTATATGGCTTAATGAGATCCCGAGATTCTACCTCACACGCATGAGAATGGCCCACATCAAAAAGACCAGAAACAAGTGCTGCTAAAGTGATGGAGAAAAGGGAACCGCCTACATGGCTGGTGGGAAGGTAGACTGGTCCAGCCCCTGTGGAAGCCAGTATTAAAACAGACCTAATATATGATCCAGTAATCCCATGCCTGGGTGTCTACTGAAGAATGCAAAAACATGAATTGAAAGGAATACACGCATTCCAATGTCCACTGCAGCACTATGTATAATAAATAGCCGGGTTAGGGAAAAGCTAAACACCCTAGGACAGATGAGTGGACTGAAAGTGTGTGGTATCTACACAGTGGAAGACTACTCAGTTATTAAAAAACAAAAAAAGATGAACTCCTGGGGCCTCCCCGGTGGCGCAGTGGTTGAGCGCTGGGTTGCGAAGCTGCCTGCAGCCTCTGCAGCGCCGGTTCCATCCCCAGCTGCTCCCCGGCCACTGGAGGAGGGTCCCACATGGCGCGCAGACCTCTCCTGCCGCCCGCTGCTCCCCTCAGCAGTGTATTTCATCAGTCTGCCTGTTCTGTTCCCCACTCTGGCTCTGGTGAATTCTCTCACCCTCCTGTGCTTCTCACTGTACCCAGTGCTTGTATAAATAAACAAATAAATAAATAAATAAATAAATCTTTAAAAAAAAAAAAAAAAGATGAACTCCTGCTACTTGCTACAATGTGGATTAAACTGGAGGGATCCTGCTAAGTAAATATGTCAGAAGAATAAAGATAAATCCTGGGTGGTTTTACTTATATGTGGAATATGGAGAAACAAAGCAAAGGGTCAGATAACATCAAAGCAATAACCAACCCTAGAAATCTGACTGTAGAGCTGAGCCTCCCAGGGGAAGAAGGAGACAGGAAGCGAGGCAGGAGGAGGCCCAGCCGGCTGTGGTGGAGGCTTTCAGGGCCGTAGTGCTGGGGGTGGTGTGAGCACGTGCATCTGAAGAGGTCTGATCCTGTGATCCTCTGAATCATACACAGTGCTGTAAAGCAATGTTACCTAAATAAAAATAAAGAACAAAACATGGAAAATATACACAAATAAAATCTGAGTGAAAATTAAAAGCTGAATTCTAAAGCGGGTTTTGCACTTGGGGCTGCATATAAAGCTTGGTGGACTAACTACAGAAGGTTACAAGAGGGTCATTACCTGACTGCCCTACTTTGCTTTAAAATGGACCAACTTCACAGGCAAAAGAGGATGTTTGAAGCACACCTAGGTAGGAGCTCACACTTCTTCCTGTGCACAGTGTGGAAGGGCCGACTGACAGTGCCTGGTGGCACAGAATCCACAGGGAACCACGACACAACTACCTGGGTGATTTACCAGGTGAGCCAAGAACTGGTCTTGGCCTGACTTGTTAACCACTCTGCTGCAAGCACTGAAAAACCTAATTGTGTCAAGAGGTAAGAAAAGCCACTCTAAGTAAGCAAGGTATAGCTTCCAGAGAAGATTTAAAGGTACCTTCCAGAATGCCTTCTTTAATGTAATCACAAAAATCACTGACACATTTAATACAGGAGAGTCCCTGGAAAAATCCACTTCTGACAGACTGGTTGGGTTGAGCTAAGGAGTCTGTCCTTTGAACACGGGTTCTAGATGATTCAATCCAAGGAAGTTCCGAAAACACATCTAGAGTACATTGTGTGTTTTCCTATTAGGTTTCCGAAGGGCCAGTCTTAAAGTCTCTGCTCTGTATGCTGCTCACATCTCCCCGGCCCCTTGATAAACACCTACGGCCTCCGCCTGACTTCCTGTCTGCCGCATTTGACATAATGAAAGATGAAAATAACCTCCAAACTAATAATCCTCTCTCCAGGCTCTTATGCAAATACCAGACTAATCTTTCAAAAATACTTTGTAATTATGTTAATCCCTTGACAAAGAAAATATTCAGAGAACAGCGCCAGTAAGCAGGAGCCTGGAGCAGCCTTCCTGGGTTTGAATCTTCGCTTCACCACAACTTACTGGCCCCTCAGCTTGGCAAGATAATCAGCCTTTCAGAGTTCTGCTGTCTTAGCTCATGAACTAAGTAATGGTGTACACCCCTTAAAATTGTGTTTATTAATTAGATCATTAATTACTTAATCAAAAATGAGATCATCCATGAGTACCAGCACAGACTAAATGGTAAGCAGAAATATTAACTGGTATTATGTTGTGAGGCCAAAGCTGGAAATTTTACTTTTTATCTTATTTCCGTGTGTCTGATTCCTATAAATCAGAGGCCTCTACTTTGCCAAAACAAGATTGTAATTGTGAAGCATGAATAAAATTTAGAAGAAACTGCCAAAGTTCAATGTTTGTCCTTGTTATTTATGTAACTTAAAGTAAGCTCTTGAACCCACATCAAAAACGAAAACAATACAAGCAACATCTTTTATTTGAAGGACCAAGATGACTGAGGGAAGAAAGGGCTCTTGGGAACCAGAAAGGAAGACCCAGAAGGGAGCAAAGCACAGAGCTCAGGCCATAAAATAATGCAGGCCTGGAAGGAGATGGGGGCATCCTACTTGGGGGACATGAAGTCATTTATGACAAAACCAGCCGACTGGGGAGGAAAAGATTCGTGGAGTGGGCATTTACAGGAGGTCTGTGCCAGGGGCTCCGGAGAGGGGGCGGAATGGCCTGTGGAACTGCCAGGCAGAGTCTGGCACCAGGGCGGGGGAAGGGGGGGTGCCTGAGAAAGCTGTACCCCGCCCTGTGATAGGGAGCCCTGTGGCTGCCTGGGGGTGGGAAGGTGGGAGTGGGGGCCTTCCCCGTACCTGTCTGCATGCCTCTCCTAGAATTAACACCGCACAACAATAAAGAATCACTGCCCCCTCCAAGCCCTCCATACACACCAACTTTCTCAGGGGTCCAGGATTTTCCTAAGCTTCAGGAACAAAGCACTGACCCCTCAGAGAAGCGGTAGCATGGGAAGCCTCAACAACGGGGCTTGGACTGACAGCCCTAAAACCCCGATTATATTTTGTAATTTCAGTGCCTCTGTGTTGTCCTGTGTGCCTCAGCTAAGCCCAGGGCTGCCGTAATCTGGGCTCCAGAGTCAAATCATTCCTTATTGCTTCTGCTCTTGCTCCCCGTTCTCATCACCCATCCAGTCGGGTCATTCTCGCTTCATGTCTGCTTCACAGCAAGGCTGCTGACACTTCCAGTCCTGCTTGGCTATTTCTACTGTTTTTTCTTCCTCTGTGCAAAAGCTGCCCACCTGAAATGTTCGACTTACATCCAACATTCTCTGCAAATCCTACCACCAATCCCAACCAGCTCACCCAACGCTAAACCACGATTATGCTCAAATGCTCCACACTCATGCCCTTGAATACAGGTTGCATTTTTAATAACGTTTCTCTTTGATTTATTAAAGTACAATACACATTAATATTGGGATACTGCAAGGGTATTAGAGTATTTTACCTCCATACACGTCCCTATTTTATGCTATTTGCATGTGTCTTTTAATTCCACACAATTAAAGCTGCATAATCCTAACTGTTTCATAGAATCAGCGTTTACATCTGGGGCCAGTCTCTGTGCATTTCTTCACTTGAGTAGATGAGTAGTTCACAGTGGTTAAAGGCAACATCTCATTGGTCTTATGGGTGCTGCACCAGCCCATTCCGAATTCAGCCAGTACCAAGCCAGCACCCCTGGCTGATGGAGCTGCTCTGAGCCCCACAGGGATGCAAACCACTTTAGACCTTGTGAACTGTCTCCTGGACCTGTGCACTGGTTGTGCATTTCAAAAATGATACATAAGATAATCTCTTCCTCCCTCTGAGAACAAGGAGGTGCAGACATGAAACTTCTAAAAGGAAAAAAATCCTTAAATCCAATGTTTCTGGTTTTGTTTCAAAATGTGTGACATATGTTTTTCACTTTTTTCCCACAGGTGCAAACTAAATCAGCAGAAGTGTGTGAAAATCAGTCAAAAACATTTTCCAACCTAGAAACCTTCTGGCCAGCTGTAGCCCTGCCTATATGGTGTATTGCCCAAAAATTTGTACTATCCTTGATATCAGAGTTGTTAACATACCAAATTTATTCATAAAGTATTAATCAACTTAAAATTTAAATAACTTAAGTGCTGATAAAATAAGATTTAGTGATGGATGCTACCAGTGTCTCTTCAAAGGCTAACATCTGCTCCCAGGCACCTGTGAGACACAGGTGTGGGGGGCCAGTGGTGAGGTGAGTGCTGGTCTCTGCCCAGGCCTTATTCCAGAGGCTTCCTTTTCATTTCCCTACCTCTGAACAAGGGTAACCTATTCCACAGTTTCCTCTGCTAGCTCTCTTATTTTCTCTCCTTTGTAGCTTCTATCCCAACTATGAAGAGGAAGCTGAGTGTGGTGGGCACAAAGGCAGTGCCCCGCAGTGAGCCTTCCATTCCAAGGTGCCCTTTCCAGCTGCCTCCCGTCTTCAAGTCTCGCTGGTCCCAAGGTGCCACCACCACAGGCCAGGAGTGGGCACACCTCAGTGGAGTAAATCCATTTATTTTTTACCTTTATTTATTTTTTTTTAATAGAGGCATGTTTATTTATTTATTTATTTATTTGTTTATACATGCACTGGGTACAGTCAGAAGCACGGGAGGGTGGGAGAATTCACCAGAGCCAGAGCGGGGAGCAGAGCAGGCAGAAGGACCAAAGTACACCGCTGAGGGGAGCAGCGGGCGGCAGGAGAGGTCTGCGCGCCATGTGGGACCCTCCTCCGGTGGCCGGGGAGCAGCTGGGGATCGAACTGGTGCCGCAGAGGCCGCGGGCAGCTTCGCAACCCAGCGCTCAACCGCTGCGCCACCGGGGAGGCCCTTTACCTTTTTTTTTAAGTTTTTTTTAAAGGTTTATTTATTTTCATACGAGAGCTGGGGTACATGCCAGATACGCGGGAGGGTGAGAGGATTCACCAGAGACAGAGCAGAGAGCAGAACAGGTAGATGGACCGAGAGCACTGCTGAGGGGAGCAGCGGGTGCGACAGGAGAGGTCTGCCACGCCATGTGGGAATCACCCTGGCTGGCCGGGAAACAAACCCATGCTGCAGAGGCTGCGGACAGCTTCACAGCGCGGCTCTCAACCCGCTGCGCCATCAGGGAGGCCCTTTTAGCTTTTTAAAACTTAATGTTACTGATGTACCATTGCTGTACATAGATGCTGTGTTTTGACAGTATAGTCAAGATATACAAAGACTAAATGCTTCGAAAACAGATGAGAGGGTCGGGAAGACGTGGACCATACACAGCGGAATACTGCTCAGCAATCAAAAAAGATAAACTCTTGCCATACACAGCAATGTGAATGGATCTGGAAGGGCTTCTACTATGTGAAATAAGTCAGAAGTAGAAAGATAAGTACCGGATGGTGTCACTTATGTGTGGAATACAGAGAAATCAAACAAAAGATCAGACAGAGAGAAACTTTAAAACTAGCTCTTAAAAGCAAACCATATGGTAAATCTCTTCAAGTTAACACAAGCCAAGCCAAATACATGTAGCTTTTCTAGGGAAAGACAGGCAAGCTTCTAACATCAGCCTATATGGCTTGGAAAACAGTCCTGACGGGGGCTTGCTTGTTCCAGCTCCAGGACACACGTAAACATGCACCGCACAGCACAGGGGTAGACGAGGCCGATCTGTCTTTACCCCAGCTCTCATAAAAGACCTTGCCATCTGCCTCAAAGGGCAGACCCTGCCAGTGCCAGCGCTTGGTGTCCTTGGTGCTCACCTGAGCTTTGGAGACACCAAGACTGAGCAGGCGTGGGCACAAGGGCCAGGCTGTTCAAACCGACCTCTGGGTCCCTCTGACCTTGTGCTGCCCACTGTCTGCTGAGGCTCTGCCCAACTGCATCCCAGCCCTCTCAGCCCTTCCTATGCAGGTGTCAGCCTCTCCCCTCCTCCCTCCACACCACTGCCCCTTAAAACACTCAGGCTGCAATCTCAGAGTCTCCTCCTCAGAGTAGCCTGACACACACAACAGTGTTTTATTTTACCTTGTAGTGTGAGAGT